TGCCCTTAGATGAGAAGAAATCTTGACGGGTTCGTTGTAAGAATTCGAACCTCCGTCCGAACGAATTCTCTTAATAGGGCAAGAAAATTGGGTTTGAACCAAGGCGAGAAAAGTGTTTAAGTAAGGAAAAAGCTTGGGACTTTGTTGACATAAGAAAGGTCCATGTTCCCCTTGAGAAATCATCTACAATGGAAAGGAAATACTTCTCCGATTATATGTAGAATGTTTATAGGGACCCCGGATATCAATGTGAATGAGGTCAAAAATGTTCGAGAAACGAAGTACTTAGCGGGAAAGATTGTCTCGCTTGTTTAGCAAGAGGGCATATCTCACAAGACAAATCAACATGAGGAATGGAAAGACCAACAACCATTTTAAGTCCGGAAACGGATATATGACCAAAACGTTTATGCCAAAGTGTGACATTATCCGAATGAGAGGAAGGTTTACAATTAGTCGTATTGCAAGACACCGAAAAGGAATTATTGACACAAGCATTATCGGACGTGAAAACAAGAAGAGTTACATGTAGAGATGACGGAATCCGAAACTGGACTAAAGGACTTTGACGGGACATGATAGAGACCATCTCTAACTTTACCGATCCCCTTGTCTTCCCGAGTTGTGAGGTCCTCAAATAGGCGAGAAATGGGGATAAAAGGAAACAAAACAATTGTTGTCGGTGGTGAATTTGGTGATCGACAACAAATTGAATTTGAAATCGGGAATGTATAAGACATCTTGAAGGATGATGTGTGGAAAGGAAACCGATCCTATATGAGAGACCCGAGTTTGAGTACCATTAGGCAATCTTACGAGTAAAGTTTGAAACTAACTTCCTAGGATTATCCAAGCAAGTGAATGAACCAGTCATGTGCACATTAGCTCCCGTATCTATAATCCACTCATCATTATAAGATGTAACATCAATCGATCGTAAAAAAATTTACTCGCCATGTTTGCGAATTGGTTCGGTGGTGGGAGAGACCTTTTCCGATGATGGATTTTTGGACAATAGTTTCAATATTTGCGATACTCGTGAGTGTGAAAAAGTAGGAGGAGAAGCCGAAAAAGTAGGAGGAGAAGCCATCATGTTGGTCGATTGTACCCCGAATGATGCTCTTCGAACGTTCGGAATGCGGATATGGGGAAGTTGCATCATGTCCCATATATCTAGCATTGTGAACATTATACACTCTCTGTCTATCTCCCCCAAAGTGAGAGCCATTACCACCTCTTCGCCCCTAGCATGCCCGAGTAAACTTCTTCGTGCATTTGGATATCCATTCAATTTATAACGGTATCCTTGGTGTGTCCCGAAATGTGACGGTATTCACAAATCATTTCCTTGTGCCAATGCCTAGTCCGGTATTGATTCCCGGTGTCTAGCGAGTAAAAAGCTATAGGAACCTCTGGATGTGGAGCAATTCCTCTTTGTGATTCCTCATTCGATATCATTGCATAAGCTTGAGAATGAGTAGGCATAGGATTCATCAATAGGATTTGTGACCTCACGGCCTAGTACTTGCTCATTCAAACCCATAAGAAACCGCATCATTTTGTGTTGCTTGTGTATATTCAACAAATGGTTGAGTGACTACACTTCGCGACTTGGACATATACAAGTAAGGGTTGGAATTAGTGAATCATATTGATCCCACAACCGTCCGAGTTTTGAGTAGTATACGGCAACACTATCGGATCCTTGCACTAATAGATTAATCTCTTTATGTAGTGCAAAGATTTTTGCTCCATGTTGTTTATCAAATCTCTCCTTTAAATCTTTCCAAACCTCCTCTCGCATATTGATAGTATACCGATCCATTAAACAACGGTGAGGAAGCCGAGTTCAATATCCAAGCGTGAACTAATGCATTGCATTTCTTCCATTGCCTATAATCCGGAGAATCAATCTCCGGTTTAGAACACTTTCCGATTACTGAAGCCGTCCTTGCTCTTAGCTTCCAAGGAAATCATCATAGCTTTACTCCAAGAACTATAATCATCCTCTCCTCCGAGTAAATGTGTAACCGAGCACAAGATTAGGCGTATCCGAAGGATTTAAAAATAGAGGATCATTGATGTCGCGATTATGAACGAGTGGGAGCTTCAATTGGAGTCGCCATGAATCTTGGTTTCAAAGATTAAAACTATGAAAGATAAGAAAAGCTAAGAAAGTAATCGAGAGATGAATCGCATTTATGTCAATGCGTGAAGAACATCTATCAATTTGTGAAGAGAAGAAATTCTAGGGTTTGTTGCTCGATACCATGTTAGCGAAGCAAATTTGGAAAAGTCTCTGTTTATTTTCATTTACTTGTCCCACTATACATTTAGTATATATACATATATGAGCTATTATCCTCTACTTCTCAACATAACCTATGCGTGTCTAACTAGTTAACTAACTATACGAGTGGCTAACTAATTGTACGACTAAATATACTTCTAATAACAAGTCTATACATTAATTGTAATTTTATTTTTTAGATACTTTTTTATAAAAAAAATATATATTTTTAAAGTATTTGTTTTTGAATCTTTAATTAATCTTTCGAGTTTAAATTATTACAAGTTTTTATTTAAGAATTTCCGAATAAAGAAGAATAAATCATGTTTTTTTAATAAAAATTTTATGAAAAACAAAAAAAAAAATAATAATTAAATAAAAAATTATAAGATTTTGAAATGATTTTGCAGCGGTTTGTTGATAATTTAAAAAAAAAATTGGTTTTTTTCTTTGATTTTTTTCATCAATTTATGATTATAGAACCAATTTATTTGAAATAAAATAATTTTTTAAAGGAATCAACTAATTAATCAAATACAGCTTTTTATGCTAATTTTATTGATTATTTTGTAAATAAATATATAAAGATCAAATGCATATACTTAAAAAAAAAAAAAAACTTCTCCTCAACATTAAATAAGAATAAAATTTTATTCTTTCATTAGTTAATTTTTATGCAAGTCTATACATTAATTGTAACTTTATTTTTTTTATGCATTCTTATAAAAAAATATTTTTTTAAAGTATTTTTTTTGAATTCTTAATTAATATTTCAAGTTTAAATTATTTCAAGTTGTATTTATTTAAAAATCCTTGAATAAAGAAGAGTAAATCATGTTTTTTAAGCGGAAATTTTATGAACAACACAAAAAAAAAAAATAGTAATAATTAAATACAAAATTAATAAAAAATATAAATTTATCTGCCCGTAACATTCCGTGGATAATTTAAATAAAAATTGATTTTTTTCATCAATTTATGAGTATAGAACCAATTTATTTGAAATAATATAATTTTTTTAAAGGAAGCAACCAAATATTCAAATACAATTTTTTATACTAATTTTTTTTATTATTTTGTAAATAAATATATAAATATCAAATGCATATACTTTTAAAAAATAATCTTCTCGCCAATATTAAATAAGAATAAAATTTTATTTTTTCATTAGTTAATTTTTATACAAGTCCGTACATTAATTATAACTTTATTTTTTAAATACATTATTATAAAAAAATATTTTTTTAAACTATTTTTTTTTGAATTCTTAATTAATATTTTAGGTTTAAATTATTATAAGTTTTCATTTAAGAATCCTCGAATAAGGAAGAATAAATCATTTTTTAAGCAAACATTTTATGAAAAACACACAAAAAAATAGTAATAATTAAATAAAAAATTAATGAAAAATTATAAAATTTTGAAATGATTTTTTTTTATCTGCCCGTAGCATTCCGCGGATAATTTAAAAAATATTAAATTTTTTTCATCAATTTATGATTATAGAACCAATTTATTTAAAATAAAACAATTAAAATAATTTTTTGAAGGAACCAACCAATTATTCAAATACACTTTTTTATGCTATTTCTATTGATTATTTTGTAAATAAATATATAAAGATCAAATGCATGTACTTTAAAAAAATAATCTTCTCGCCAACATTAAATAAGAGTAAAATTTTATTTTTTCATTAGTTAATTTTTATGCAATTCTATATATTAATTATAATTTTATTTTTTGGATGCATTTTTATTTAAAAAAATTACTTTTAAAGTATTTTTAAAAAAATTTTAATTAATATTTCATGTTTAAATTGTTATAAATTTTTATTTAAGAATCCACGAATAAAGAAGAATAAATCATGCTTTTTTAATCAGAAATTTTATGAAAAACACACAAAAAAAAGTAATAATTACATTAAAAAATTAATGAAATAATTATAAAATTTTGAAATAATTTTTTTTATATGCCCATAGTGTTTTTTGGATAATTTCATAAATTAATCTTTTCATCGGTATTAAATAAAAAAAATTTATTTGTTAATTTTTATAAAAATATATCCATTAATTATAATTTTATTTTTTGAAATATAATATTATGAAAAATATGTTTTAAAAGTTTTTTTAATTTTTGATTATTATTCTAGTTAAAATATATTATTATTGGAATGGTGAGTAAGAATCCAATCACAAGTCTCTTGCGTGGGACGCATGCCATTGTAACTATTGTTTTTCGTAGAAACGGGCGTGTTGGATTTTTTTCTAGGTCTTGAACCCATATGTTGGTGCAAGTTCAACGCCAAACACCGACAATCTTGACTCAACTACAAAAAAAAGTTTACATTTCCGATTAGACATTGCAAGAGGATCTGAATACGTACCTTTATAATCATTATTATTTCTACTGGGTCTCTTTCCATGAAAGGAGGAGGATGGATAATCATTATTACTATTGGTGAAACTTTTTCTTCTTTGTGGAGAAAGGGGGGCAGAGAATATGAAGCTTCGGCCTTAGTCAAATTGGACCGGCTAGAATTAATGTCCTTTTATAAACGCTTTAATTGGGTTAGAAAACGATATCCCGCGTGGACCCATACATCACCCGCTTTGGTTTGGAAATTAAGTGTGGCAGTGAACAAGAAAGACCTTTAAATTTCTTTGTGCATAAATTTAGCATTTTTCATTCTAGGCAAGCATTAAACACAAGCATGGTGTCCCTCTATTATGAGTCGCAACTTCTTGCAACTATAGGCATCACATTTCTCTTGTCACGTATTGTGGTTCCACTTGACTCAGCCTTGCTAGCATCAGAAGGCAAGGCTTTGCTTGAGAGTGGATGGTGGAGTGACTGCGGCAATCTCCCTTCAGATCGTTGCAGGTGGCCTGGTATAGTTTGTAATCGGGCTGGAAGCATCATTGGGATTTCTCCACCTTCAGAGTTCTTCATGGTGGGAACTAAGTTTAGAAATATGAACTTTTCTTGCTTCTCAAACCTTGTTCATCTCGACCTGGCCAACCATGAGCTCAGTGGAGGCATCCCACCTCAAATTTCTGTCCTTTCAAAACTCAGGTACCTCAACCTGTCCTTAAATGGTCCAGAAGCTGAGTTACAATTATCTTCACTTGTGAATCTTAGCCGATTAGTGAAACTTGACATTTCTTACAATTCTATGTCCAGTTATATCCCTCCAAAATTAGGCAATCTTAAAAATCTTGTTGTTTTGAACATATCCCACAATGGCCTTTTCGGCACCATCCCTTCAACACTTTGTAATTTGAGCGATCGACGCACTTGGTCATGGATTCCAATTCTCTTGAAGGTGTCATCCCTAGAGAAATAAGAAATATGATAAATCTAGAGAGTTTGAACCTTATTAATAATGAACTTACCGGTCCAATCCCTCATACACTCGGGTAGTTTAGTTAAGTCGAGGTCTTTAAGTCTTTCTTACAACGGAATCAATGGATCCATTCCTTCGAAATAGGAAATTTATTGATGCTTGAAAATCTAGATCTCAAATTTAATAAGCTTGTCTGGTTCAATTCCTTTGGAAATAGGAAATTTGGAGAAGCTTGAAGAGTTAGATCTCGGTCATAATTACCTAGTCGGTCCAATCCCTCACACACTTTGTAATTTGAACAGTCCGACGCACTTGGTCATGGATTCCAATTATCTTGAAGGTGGCATCCCTAGAGAAATAGGAAATATGAAAAATCTAGAGAGTTTGAACCTTGGTAATAATTCACTTACCGGTCCAATCCTTCAAATATTGGGTAGTTTAGTTAAGTTGAGGTCTTTAAGTCTTCCTTACAATGGAATCAATGAATCTATCACTTCGTAAATACGAAATTTGACAATGCTTGAAGAGCTAGGTCTCGTTGATAATAACTTTGTTGGTTTCATTCTTTTGAAAATAGGAAATTTGGAGAAGCTTGAAAAGTTAAATCTCAATCATAATAACCTTGTTGGTTAAATTCTTTTGGAAATAGATAATTTGGGTAAGCTTGAAGAGTTAGATCTCGGTTATAATAACCTTGTTGGTCCAATCCCTCAAACACCGAGTAGTTTAGCCAAGTTGAGGTCTTTAAGTCTTCCTCACAACGGAATCAATGGATCCATCCCTTTAGAAATAGAAAATTTGATAATGCTTGAAGAGTTGGATCTCGGTTACAATAATCTTGTTGGTCCTATTCCTTCCACATTGGATTGTTTATCCAATTTGAGTTTTTTAGACCTTTCTAGCAACAACTTAAGTGCGGAGATACCTTCTCAACTATATAACTTGTCGTTACGGTTTGTCAATTTTAGTTACAATAATCTATCGGGCTTCGTTCGGATTGACTGGCCTTCATACACCTTCGGCTTTCCAAGTAACTTGTCCTTCTTTAAATGATCAAAGCATACATGATCCCGTAAACTCCGTCATTTATCGCATTTGAAGGCAACATAAATCCGCAACTTAATTTCTCAAGTTGTTCGCCTCTAAGTACTCCATTCTTACATCCAAAACACAACAAAAATATCCATTCTCTCAAAATATTTCTTCCCATTACCGTCACTATCACTATTTCCCTTTTTCTCTTATTCCTTGGATGTTATTTCGTTGTCTCAACGTAAGGGCAAAGCTATCAAATTTGAGTCAACCACGATGAAGAATGGAGACTTATTTTCCGTATGGAATTATGACGGGAAAATTGCATTTGAAGACATCATTGTAGCGACAGAGGACTTTGACATTAGATATTGTATTGGATCCGGTGGTTATGGGAGTGTCTACAGAGCACAACTTCCAAGCGGAAGAGTAGTTGCCTTGAAGAAACTTCATCGTCGAGAGGCCGAGGATACCTGTTTTGACAAGAGTTTCAAGAATGAGGTGAAACTCGCTCACGCAAATACGACACGGGAGCATCGTAAAGCTTTTCGGATTCTGTTTGCACCAACGATGCATGTTTCTCATCTACGAATACATGGAAAGGGGAAGCTTGTTTTGTGCCTTGAGAAATGATGCTCGAAGCCGTGGAACCGAATTGGATGAAAAGAGTGAACATCATCAAAGACATTGCTCATGCAGTATCTTACTTGCATCATGATTGCTCTCCACCAATTGTTCATCGAGACATATCAAGCAACAATGTTCCGTTGAATTCGGAATTGAAGGCTTTTGTTGCTGATTTTGGTGTGGCTAGACTTCTTCTTCCCGATTCATCCAACAATACGGTTCTCGCAGGAACTTATGGATATATTGCCCCAGTGTTTAAATATTTCTTCTTATTATATTGTGTGCACCACTCCTAGACCGATTACACGTAATGACGAAGCAATAAACTAATTAGATGACTAGATAAAAGCAAATAGCCTATAAAAAGTAAAAAAAAAAAAAAAAATGATTGCTAATCACAAAAGTTAGAAAAAACAACCTTTTTATCCAATTATTTTTGTGATTTTGGGGAGGCCAATTGGAAAAGAAAATCATCTTTCTAGAGCAACTTAACTTATAATTAACGAGCATAAAGTTTTAAAAGGGCTATGAGACACATTAATTATCTAATGAGACCCATTATCTAGTTGTCTCTAATCAAATGTGTACTAAACGAGTGAACGACAATAACCATTTCTCTATTATCTTGTTTTATTTCATCCAACTTAGCAAGTGTATATAACTTCAAAACTTCACTTATGCAATAATGTATGAAATTTATGCAGTAAATGGTAATTGTTGTAAGGTCTTTACACGGTTCGATTATGTAGATAATCTTGTATTAATTCTATCTCATTTTGTTGATGGGCGGAATTTGCTTATACTATGGAGGTGACTAGAAAATGTGATGTTTATAGTTTTGGAGTTGTGGCATTGGAAACATTGATGGGAAAGCATCCGGGAGATCTATTATCATCATCTCGCTTCGGGTATAACTTTGAGTCAAGTGTTAGATCCACGTCTATCACCTCCAAGAAATGAAATTCTCCAACAAAATATAATTGTTATTGTTGCTCTAGCATTTTCCTGCATCTATGCTAAGCCAAAATCACGACCTTCCATGAAATTTGTGTCTCAAGAATTTCTATCTCCCGATAGAGCTTCATCGGTCGGTTCTTTTTATGAGATTTCTTTGCTAGAGTTGCAAAGTCTTGGCATGCAATATCTAACAAGTGAGACACGATCACATATGCCATATCATCAAGATGAGAGCCTCATTGAGGTGTCAAATTTGACCTACTCGTTGAACTTCGAGGAGAGGTTCTAAGAAAGCGTGTTTGATGGTTGTTCTTCTTTTATGAAAAGCTAAATATTTGTCCTTTTTTCCTACATTAGTGAACTATATATTTTTGTAATGTTTTGGTGTAACAAGGAAAATTCTGTATGCATAAACCTTTTTCCATTTAATTTGTATTTTTGTTAACTTTCAATATTTTTATTTGTTTTTAATATCTAAACCATAAATATAGAATGAATTCATGCAATCATTCCTTTGGGTTATGTGACATTAGTTGGTCAACCTTGTAAATCAAGCTAATCAAGATAGACGAATGATTTATAATATATCAAAATTGATAGTAAAAGATTTAATAAATTATCTTACCTAACATGAAACTAATGTGTATATATATATGAGCCATAAATCATTTTTTAGTACTTGTACACATCAAATTTTGATCAATCAAATATTTTTATTAACTTTATTATTAGAATGCTAATATGACAGTTAACTTTTCATTAAGTGGGCTTGTGTTGATATTATTTTAATATTTTCTATGCTTTTCAAAGACAATGACATATAAATTATTGAATTTGATCAATCAAATTCCTCAATTGGTTTATATTACAAATATGTCGATATGGCAATTATTTCGTAATAAAGTGGGCTAGGTGTTAGAAATTGACACAGATAAATGACAAATGAAGTTATGCATTTCATAATTTTTTTTTTTAAGATAAATGACTCAATACATTTTTATATATAATTTGAAAAATCTCGAATATGTTTCTACGTTTTTAATTGTGTCTATTATGTTGGTGTATAATACCAATTCTCCAATATTCATGTTGTCTAATTTTTCCATATAAATTTATATAATTATATATATATATATTTTTTTTTTGAAAATGTCCTTAAACAATATGAGAATATAATTTTAATTTTGAAAAAAAATTATTTCTTAAAATTATAATGGTTGAGTAATTTTGAATTTTTTTTCCTAAAACATTTTAAGCAATTTTGAATATTATATCCTTATATAAATCAAGGATATTTGTGAAATAAAATATATCGTTCTATTAATTTGGATGAAAAAACTTAACGAGTAAGACTTATTAGAGAATTACTTATTATACTCGATACACACTTTATCTATTGAAAAAAAAAATTATTTATATATGTATATATTATGAAGCAATAGATACATTAGAAACTTAGGGATATATTGGACACTTGTAAAATGATGTAAAATTATTTATGTACTTTTTCTATTTGAGTATTGTATTATTTTTTTCAATAACAAAAAATTTAAAAAATAATAAAACTAACTAACTAATTAATTAGGTGAATTTATATTTATGTTACTCATAGATAGTGTTTTTTAAGCTTCTATTGTTGAATAAAATTAAACCCTAATTGACGAGTGAGGATAATATAAAATTTCTTGATGATAAAATTTCTTTTTATTTACATGTTCTCCTTAAAAGTAAATATGTTTGTAAGAATAATTTATTTATTTATTTAATAAATATTTATTTAAAGTATGGATTGATAAATTATGTTTGAATAAAAATAAATTAATACAAGTATAATTATTATGGAGTGTAAATGAATGAATGAATTAAAATATAAATTAGAGGATTATAACATTAGAGATACGAGTCCGAGTAAGAATACCATGGACCAAAAGGACTAGCTAATAATGCTGTTTAGAGAGCAACAAATAGGGTGAAGCAAATGCTTAAAGTTAAATATGTTGTAAGGATGTTTTACTTAAATAATAAAGAGATATTTCAATAAAGTAAGAAACGTAAGTTTATACTTGTATTAAGGATATATTAGATACAAGTCAAGCAATTTTATGGACTTTAATTACTCTTGAAAAGGTCTAGAATAAGGCCTAGATTGTAGAAAATTGTGAGATTTTGGACTGAAATTGGAGGGGTAGATTGTAAGAATTAAAAAATTAGGGACTAAAGTATAAAATTATGATAATTTAGGGGAATAATCAATTGAGTTTGGGAGATTAATTTCAGTAAGAATAATCCAGAAAAATAGAGAGAAAAGTGGGCTGGTTAGGTCGGCATAAGGAGGAAGAAAGAAGAAATATCTAAAGAAAAATTAAGGAAAAAGAGAAGAAAAGATAAGAAAAAAGAAAAATATAAAGAAGTTATTAATTGCCATGGTTTAAGATCAAAACGAGTGTGATACACTTGGCTTAATCTTAAGAAAAAACCTTGGCTATAAATATGAAAGAAGAAGATAGAAGAGGTTAGAAACTTTAGATGTTCAAGGTTACACCAAAGAGAGAATAAGCAAAACCAAGAGGAAAATCATCAAACCAACACTCCACACTATCTTAGACATCCTTGAAACACCCTAAAATCATCTCATAATCAGTTAAGAAGATCAAGTAAAGGAGGAGGAAAAAAGTCACTTATGACTGAAATTTAGAGGAGGAGAGAGGAAAAAATCCAAAGAGAAAAAGAGAGGGATTGATCAAACTTAATTGTAGGACTTATTAGAGAGCTAGTTATTATACTCCAATACATACTTTCTCTATTTAAAAAAAATTATATATATATATATATATATATGTATATAATGGAGTGATAGATACATTAGAAACTTAGGGATATATTGGACACGAGTAAAATTATATAAAAATGGATGAAGTTATTTATTTATTTTTTCTATTTGAGTACTTGTAATATTTTTTTAATAAAAAAAATTAAAAAATAATAAAATTAACTAACTAATTAATTAGGTGAATTTATATTTATGTTACTCATTTTTAGGGTTTTTTAATCTTCTATTGTTGAACAAAATTAAACCTAATTAACAAGTGAGGATAATATAAAATCACTTAATTAATTAATTTATTAGTTTTATTGGTTTTATTTTTAATTTACTTTTTAAAAATTTCTTGATGGAATGTTTTTTTGAAAATGGCATAATTATGGTTGTTTCAAACATAGTGACCCACTTGCATTGAAAATAATTGGTATGTTAGCTAATTTGTACCGAGTAGTTTATGAAAGTACTTGATTGATAAACTTTTATAAATACAAGTACTTAATTAAAAAAAATACATATATTGAAATAAAAAAAATCATAAAATACAAGTACTTTGTTAAAAAAATATATTAAAACAATATCAATGTAAGCCCACTTGACGGAGACTTAACTCGTCATGTCAATATTCTATAACAAAACTAACGAATGTACTTAATTGAACAAATTTCATAAATACAAATAAAAAATTAAAAGAACACAAATACTTTAATTTTCATTATCTATTTTTTAAAAAAATCAATTTCTCAATCTTTTAATGAAAAATACAAGGCATTATGAAATCATGCAAATTTAAGCCACCTTTTCCCCCTCCCTTGCTTTTTTTTCTTTTCCTAAATTGAAATATTTTTGGAGTAAATTATAAATTACTCCCTCTAGTTTTAAGATACAAATTAATTAGTCGTCTTTGTTTCAAAAATATTATTTATCTTTTAATCAATGTTGATCATGTTTAATGTAATATTATTTTTATTCATAAATCTCTTACTTTCTCATCAATCTTTTCATATTTTTTTCTTCTTTTTCTTATTTCTTAAAACAAAAAGACAAAATATATTTAAAAAAAAAACATGATCTATAGGATATTCTTTGCAAAGTTGGCATGATTGCTCATGTAAAGTAAAGGAATAGATTTAGGTATAAGGAAAGGAATTCATGTTTAAGCAAATCAATGCATTTATGTTTCAAGAAAGGAAAATTGTACAAAAAATGTTGTAAAGCATACAAGACCTTTTATGTGGATGGGATACTAACAAAGAGAATGATATAATGACAACTCTTTGCAAGGCATGCAATGGGAATGATTTAATCAAAACCCCTGTGTGCCAAATGAAAAAGGACATGCTAAGAGAATGATTTAATGAATACTCTTAGGTCGCGTTTGTTTGAGGGAAAACAAGTTCCTAGAACTTATTTTTCTCATTTTTCGGTGTTTGTTTCACATTTAGGAAAAAAGTCAACGGAAAATGATTTCTAGTCAACGGAAAATGATAGAGTAATTTTGAAAAAATGTTTTTCTAGTTTCAAAAGAGGAAAACATTTTCCTTCTCACGAGTCGTCTCGCTCTCTCGTTACATAACTCTCTCTCGATATATTTTAATAATTTTTTTCTCTATCTTCTTTTTATTTAAAATATATCATATTAATTTTTAATTATTTTTTATCAATTATTATTTAATTATTTAATTATTTTTTTCTATCTTTACTAATATTTGATTTTTTTTATTTATATATACATTAAATATTCTTAAAAACCATTTTTACACCTTAAAATTATTTTTATAATAAATATTTCAATAACTTATCTCCTTTTTTTTTACTATTGTCTCAATCACTACCTAAGCTATATTTAAATGATTGAAAATAATTATTACAAGACTATAATTTTTTGTAAAAAGAAATTAAAATTAATTAATTCATCAATAAATACATTATTTTTTAACACTATTCATTTTCAATTAAATCAATAATTTATAATTTTAATCAATTGTAAAATTTTGTTGGTAATTGTAATGAATAATTAGTTACAAATTATTCCAACATTAATCTTTTGAGATCAAATAAATAATTATCTATAGATGATAAAAAATAATTTATCAAATTATTTTTATACTAAATTATCAGTTTAATTTCTTAAAAAAAAATCTTAATTGAGTTACTAAAATAATAATGCTAAGATTACTTCGAATTTTTTTCTTTTTTTACCAAATATGAATATTGACTTAATTTTGTCCCAAGTAATTTTGATGATTTGGTTTGATTGTTAAAAAAATATATATATTTTATTTTTTGAATTAAAATTTTAGAGTTAATATTGATGATAATTTATTAAAGTTTTCTAAATGTGTCTTATATTATGAAATTATGAATGCCTTTTTAAAATTTTCTTAAAACTTATTGATATAACAATCACATAAGTTTTTGTATTTTAATTTTCCGTATCAAACAAACGTTGGAATATATTTTTCAGTAGCTTTTTTATATAATTGCCGGACGATGAGAAAATATTTTCTTGGAAAATAATTTTCAGGAAAATAGCTTCCTCGAGAATTGATTTTCCTATGGAACTTGTTTTCCCTTAAACAAACGGAGCCTTAGTGTGTAAAAAAGATGGTCCGGTGGATATCCCTAGATGTTTTAAGGATGATATGTCAAGAGAAAAATCTAAATGATATGTAAAGAAAATGATTTAATGTATACTCTTGAGCTATGAAAAGATGATTGAAAAGAGCATAATCTAGTGCATACTCTTGAGAAAAGGATAGAAAATGAATGTTGCACTACAAAGATGAAAAGAATTAGAAGATTCGTGATCAATCGGATTGCAAAGGGTGGAAGGAAGGCATACCAACCGTATTGTGTAGAGCGGGATGGTTGAGAGTGTTGATCGAATAAGCGAACAATGACTAGCCTTGCTCAATAATTTAGCTTTCCTTCTCGCTAGAGGATAGTGAATCTTTTCGGTGATATGCTTGAAAGAGGATCGCCAAGTAACTTTCGAAGTCCGAAGTAAAGGAGAAGTTCAAACGTCTCCTTACTTCCTCTTAATGCCGACGAGATGTGTAGGGAGAGATGTAGACACGAGTTTTCCGATCATTAATCGGCACCCCGAGCTTGCACATAATTACTTCATAGTATCTAATACCACTTTGCAATGTTGATGGGAAGTACAGGAGAAAATCACTTTGTAGTGTTATTCATGAACATTTGTTGCTTACATTTTCAAGTGATCCATTCCTTTTTTGTACAAAACAAAACGCTTGGAAATTTATTTATTTTTACTTTAAATATTTTTTCAAAATAATTCATAACTATATATAAAAATACAAATTTTATATAAATTATTTAATATATATATTCCAAATCAAAAGATTTTAACATCTCGCAAAAAAAAAAAAAAAAAAAAAAAAAAGGAGACTTCAAAGATTAATCTTAAAATCATAAAATTATATTAATAAATATTAGCTCAACAAATTTAATTTAAATATTTTTAGATAAACTAATTTTTCAATAACATAAATAATACACGTAGAATGCATGTTTCCAAATTTTATTAATTTTATTTGATGTTATTTTTGGAGTTTTTACATGTTTTGGTTGTTTTACGGTTAGTAATTTTTTTTATAAATAAATATTAGTAATTTTAAAACAACTAAAACATGTAAAAATCCTAAAAGTAACATCAAATAAAAATAGCAAAACTAAGATAAAATAATCATGAAAGTGAGTTTCTTTTTATAAACAACATATCTAAATGAAGATTTTAGCAAGAGAGGTGAGTAGAATTAAAATAAGAATGAAAGAGAAGATTGTAGATTATTGGAGGGAAGTTTTCATTTTTAGGATGGAAGTTTTTAATTTAAATTAATTTTTACCTTAATTAAAATTAAATTTATTATTTTCTAAATTAAATTAATATGAAATCACATCTAATTTTCTATTGATTCTAAAAAATGATTTTTTCAAATTTATTTGTAACGTATGTCTAATGTGACATAATCCTCAATTTTCGGAGAAATATTATAATACATCAAGAGTAACTAATAGCATGTATAGTAGTTACTCCATAGATCTACTTTGAGGAGAGAGATAAACACAAAAAGGAAAGAAATTACATCAATACCCACCGAAAGTGATAAGAAGATTTCAACGTCTACTCAAATTTTTTTATTTTCTCTCTCCTGTTTCTCTTTCTCTTTCTCTCTTTTTTGTGTCTATCTCTCTCCTTAAAGTGGACCCATAGAGTAACTATCGTACATGCCACTAGTTACTCCTAGTGTATTATAAAATTTTTTCGATTTTCATGGCCATGTCATGAGATAAATCAAATCGTAAACAAACCCGAATCCAAAAGCCCATTTGTTAAAATCCCTCAAAAACTTCTCTTGCTTCACTCCTCTGTCGAGTTTCTTTCAAATGACTATCAATTTCTTCTTTCAATTTCATCAAAACCCATTTTATTTATCTCTTTCTATAATAAAATAACCTTTGCTTTTCTTTTCAAATTTTTTTTCGGTATTGATAAAAAATACTTGCGGATAAATGTAACACACTTAAATTGTGTTGAAGGAGCTCACATTCTATGAAAGAAAATAATAATAAGGAAACCCATTTTCGCTATAATTCTCGTGTTTCATCATGTTCTACCTGCTTCCTCTTCTAGGTCACAATGTCATCGAGTGGTGGCACTTATGAGAAATCAAAGAGGGTATGGATATGGACGGAAAGCAAGCAAGTCATGATTGCTCGTTGTCGAAAGAGGTTGGAATACCTTCATCTTCTTGTCCAAGCATAGACAACTTGCTATGGAGTGGTCATGTAAGTGCTCTTTTAATTAAGCATCCTCCTCTCGTAGTGTTTTCCATGCTATAATTATAAATTAGGATATGAGCTAGCGAGTAATCTTGTATTATAAGTAGTGCATCGTAAGAGATGATCAATAAATGAAGCAAATAGCATGATGAAATTTTTTCATTTTGAAGTTTGGTTATGGTGTGTACAAGCAATCGCCTTCATATATCCTCTATTTATTGAGGAAGGAGAAGTTTTGGATGGCGATAACAAAAGGGTTGCCAATATTTTTGAGGTTTCAACTCCCTAAGAATTGTAGGAGCTTCGACCGGATAATGGGCGAGTCGAGAATGTTATTATTGATATATTGGATTGGTAACTATGGATGTTTGATTTCTCCTTATTGGAAGAATGCGTTATCGGTAGGATTTTTGTTAGAATAGGAAATATTGTATTTAGAATATTCTAGGTGTATTGTATGATGTATATATAGGAATTTAAGGCTCTAATTAAGGAGTTTAGGAAGATTTACATCTTTAGTTTCCTAATTTAGATGCTATATGTAGCTATATATATGTAAGTTATAACACCGGAGAGGTACGACAATGCAATCAATATTTCTTGCTTCATATCAATTCACATGGTATCGAGCTAGTCTATTTTATCTCTAAACAAAAAACCCTAGCCATGAACCACTCTAATTTATTTTCTTCCTCACGACCATGTCTAAAATTACATCGGATTCTACACCCACTCTTGTTCATCCATTTACCTCTTACAAAACCAAAGATTCCATCAATAAGACAAAGAATTCTCATGACTTACTTTAGATTTTTCTTTCGGTTCGGATTACCATTATTAAACCGAAGGAAGACAATTTCTTATGCTTGGTCTCAATCCGTGCACATGTACATCTCGCGACGGGGGAAAGATTAGGTATTCCAATGGTGAGAAAAAGGAGCCAAACTTGGATGATCCGGTTTATCCGAGTTTGGCATGTAGAGAACTTCATGCTCAAATCCAATTCTAGATTATCCGGTATTCTTAATGCTTCTTTGGCACAAATAGGAAGTGATTTAAATGTCTTAGTGTGTTACTCTTTATCACAATCCGCTCCATGGATCATTGATTTTGAAGCATCCGACCATATGACAAGTTTTTTAAATTTATTTCATACTTATGTTCCTTGTTCGGGTCATGAAAAAATTTGTATAGCGAGATGGGTCCTACTCATCTATTATTCGCAAAGGTTCAATTATTTTGCCGGATACTTTATCCCTTAAATATGTTATGTATGTACCAAAACTTGCTTGTAATCTTCCGTACGTCGACAAATTATCAAAAGATTCTAATTGTAGTGTCACTTTCTTTAATTCCTATTGTGTGTTTCGGGATCGAATTCGAGAAAAAAGATTAGCAATGCTAAAACGCCAACGATACTATTGTTCCGTACCATTAGGGAACAAGATTCGGGTAAAATATACACTTCTTTGGGAATGAAAAAAAAGCGATCTACTTTCATTTGGTATTTTACTTGAAATTTTTTGACTCCTTGATACTCAACTAAATCCTTTTTTTTGACAATTGAATGCGCCCCTATAGCCACATATTTAGTAATTCCTAATCGATGATCTTTACTATTTTAAAGATCAAGTCTCTAAGGATAAAAGACCTCAATGACTAAGTAGTATCGGTTCTATCCCCGTTAAAGATAAAATAATGCTCCGGCACTATAGACTAGGGCATCCTAATTTTCTTTATCTTAAAAAATTGTTTCCTACCTTATTTAAAGGCCTAGATAGTCCTCTTTTTCACTCGTAAACATTGCATTTTGTCAAAAAGCCATAAAAATATTTATCTTTCAAAACATTATCAACCTTCACGACCATTTTATTTAATTCATAGTGATGTATAGAGTCCTTTATGGATTCCTACTTATTCGAGCAAAAAATGGTTTGTAACCTTTGTTGCCGATCATACCGAGTTGTGTTAAGTATATTTACTAGCTGATAAATCGAAGTTAAGACAGTATTTCAAAATTTTTATAACATGATTGAAACTCAATTTCAAACTAAAATTGGTATTTTTCATACCGATAATGGTACCGAGTATTTCAATGAAATTCTTAGAATTTTTTTAAAGATAAAGGCATTCATCATCAATCCACTTATGTTGATACACCTCAACGAAATGGTATAGCCGAGCGAAAAAATTGACACTTATTGAAAGTTGCCCGATCTCTTATGTTTTCTATGCATATCCATAGGTATCTATGGGAGAAGCGATTTAACGGCAACATATTTGATAACCGTAATGCCTACTCGTGTACTTAAATTCATTATCCTCTTGAGTGCTTTAAAAAATTCTTTCCTAAAAATCGAATTTCATCCAATTTACCCCTTAAAATATTTGGGTGCATAGCTTATGTTCATTTACCTAATAAGGATCGGTCCAAGCTTGATCCAAGAGCTGAAAAATATGGTTTTATTGGCTATGCGTCAAATCAAAAAGGGTAAAAGTGTTTTCAACCAAAGACCCAAAAAATCCTAGTTACTATGGATGTTTTACTTCTTGAAAATCAGCCTTATTTTCAAATGAATTTTCTTCGGAGGAGAGTTTAGAGGAAGAAAATAGTTGGGACAACATACCTATTTTTACTACTTTACCTCAAACAAGTGGCCTCTACACCTAGTGTTTTCGAAAATGACAAAGCAATTTCTACCGATAAGAAATTGTTTTGCCGTACATTGTTGAATCTTTGACGGGGAGAGAAATACCGTAAAATAATCCTAAGGATCATGAACTCGATGTCATTGTTTACGCAATGAGAAAGAAACATCAAAAGGGTAAAGAACCTATCGTTCCTTCAAGCACCTAGTCAATCCATTACCTCGAATTCATATACTCAAAACACTTCTCAAAATACTAATCCTCCTATTTCATCTCCCGTTTTACCCAATGTTGTTTCTCATAAATATTATGATCTTGATGTTTCTATTGCACTTAGAAAAAAAACTCGTTCTTGCACTAATCATCCAATTGTAAAATATCTATCTTATGACCGTCTCTCTCAAAACCATAGGGCATTTACTTTAAAAATATCTAACCTCATTTGTTCTAAGAAATATTCGGAAGCACTTGATGATCCAAATTGGAGAACAATTGTGATGGAGGAAATAAATACGTTAAAGAAAAATGGAACATGGTAAATTGTAGAGCTACCTAGAGGTCGGAAAATAGTTAGGTGTAAATGGGTATTTATCGTAAAATGCAAGACAAATGGTAGTGTAGAGAGATACAAGGCTAGACTTGTGGCTAAGGGATTTACTCAAACATATGGTGTTGTTTATCGGGAAACCTTTGCCCCAAGTAGCTAAAATTAACCCTATACGTGTTTTATTATGTCTTGCAGTTCATTTCAATTGAGTCTTATACCAACTAGATGTGAAAAATGCTTTTCCGAATGGTGATTTGGAAGAGGAAGCCTTTATGAGTCCACCTCCTGGTTTTGAAGAGTTTGTTGGTCAAAACAAAGTTTGTAAACTTAAGAAGTCATTGTATGGCCTCAAACAGTCTCCAAGGGCATGGTTTGAACGGTTTGGGAAGACTTTAAAAGGATATGGGTATCATCAAAGTGAAGCGAGATCATACTCTTTTTTATAAACACACCGATAAAGGAAAAATAACAATCCTCATTATATATGTTGATGACATGATACTAACGGGTGATGATCTTGATGAATTAGCAAGATTAAAAAAGAGACTAGCTAAAGACTTTGAGATTAAAGACACGGGAACATTGAAATATTTTCTTGGCATGGAATTTGCAAGATCGTGTGAAGGAATCTTTGTAAATCAAAGGAAATATGTCCTTGATTTACTTAATGAAATCGATCTTCTAGGTTGCAAGGTTGCTCGAGATTCCAATTGAGGTAAATCTCAAACCAAATCCTACCGAAATTGAAGATGTGATTGAAAAGGAGAAATTTCAGCGCTTGGTGGGCGGACTTATATATCCGTCACACACTTGCCCCGATATAGCATTTGCGATAAGCATGATAAGCCAATTCATGCATGCACCGAGCCGTGAGCATTTTGAAGCCGACTATAGGATACTAAAGTACCTAAAAGGGACTCCAGGAAAGGGTTTAATATTTAAAAAACGTGATCACTTTCGGGTGGAAGTCCGTACTAATGCCGACTTGGCCGGTAGTGTGACGGACAGTGCGATCAACATCCGGATATTGTATATTTGTTGGAGGCAATTTAGTTACTTGGAGAAGTATGAAGCAAAATGTTGTGGCACGAAGTAGTCGTTGAACGAATTTAGATCCCTTGCACAAGGGATTTGTGAAGCTATGTGGATTAAGAAATTGCTTGAAGATTTGAAGCTTCCCGCATCACTTCCTATGAAAATTTATTGTGATAAGAAAGCTACCATTTCAATTGCTCATAATATGGTCCTTCATGATCGGACTAAACATACCGAAGTTGATGGGCACTTTATCAATGAGAAACTTGAAGCTCGGGCTAATTTGCATTCCATATATTCCTACTTCTCCAGCAAGTGGCTGATATACTCACCAAAGGTTTACCGAAAAAACAATTTGATTTTCCGGTAAGCAAGCTGACAATGGGAGACATTTACAAGCTAACATGAGGGGGAGTTTTAGAATAGGAAATATTTTATTTAGAATATTCGGGTGTATTGTAGAATGTAAATATAGAAATTTAGGACTCTAATCAAGGAGTTTAGGATGATTTATATCTTTAATTTTCTAGTTTGTAATTTTCTAGTTTAGATGCTATATGTAGCTATATATATATAAGTTGTAATACCAGTGGAGGTACGGCAATACAATCAATATTTTCTGCTTCACAAGTTTACCAACCAATAAGTCAATAACCATCCTTTATTGTTCTGAACTTGCTTGTTTTATTGAGAGAACACTGTGCTTATCCAGTGGAGGAGAACTGCAATTTTTTTTGCAAGTACGTCTCCCTCGAGCACAATGTAATGATGTGGATACTATCATTTCTAGCTCTTACTCTATTAACAAATACATTTAACAACTAAAAATTGCTTCAAACTTCAAAAATAAAATCTCCTGGATGTTTCTTGCTTACATTTTCTAGTGATCCATTCCTTTTATAAGAATCACGTGAACATGCTTTAAATTGCAAACAATTAAATCTGCTGGATGTTGCCTCTATTCCATGAACATCTCTTGCTTCGATTTTCAAGTGATTCACTAGCTTCTAAGAATTAATGTGTTAGAATATTTTGAAAATTTATCTCTTGGATTGAATTAGTTTTAACGTTTATGTCATAATTGTAATTATGTCTTACAGATAATACCTGCAGAGAATATTGTTGCAGAATTTCAAGGTAGTTGAAAGACAGTGTTTGCCATCTCAAAAACTCATTCTGAAGCACAAATCTACCTTGAGGTATCTGTTGAATATACTCTTTGATCAAGGAACAGAATGGAATTTGCATGCTTGATTTATTGTTTAAATTATTGTTTTATGGCTGTGTCCTTAATTGTATCGGTGTGTCTTATGATACTCATGTTCTTGTATTTGTAGGCGTTGGGGCATGGTTTAGGTGGAGTTGTTCTAAAAGTTGAAGATGTTGAAGCTGTTCTTAAGTTAGAGGTAATTCTATTTCAGGATGGGGCTCCTTGATTCATAAGCAGTAAAGATTGCTTCTTATACTGGTTAATATTATCAGGACTATTTTAACATAAGGAATGAAGCAAACAATCTGTTGAGCTTGACCAAAGCCATTGTAACTAGAGCTCAAGTAGCCGAAATGGGTGATCGAGTTTGTGTGGATCTCTGTAGCCTCATGAAACCTGGTGAAGGACTTCTGGTACCATTCTAGTTCGTCATGTAGGATCCTTTGCATCCCATCTTTTTTTCCTTGAGCTTGTTACATATTATCGATTATGATAGCATGAATATGCCGTCACAGGTTGGTTCCTTTGCTAGAGGACTATTCCTTGTTCACTCAGAGTGCTTGGAGTCAAATTACATTGCAAGCAGGCCTTTCTGTGTTAATGTGGTGAGTTGCTTCTCGTGCTGGAAACAGTATCTTGATGACTGTTTTCTTTTTGAAAATTTTGGCATTCACTGTAATTTCAGTCTGGGTCCTTAAATTGTTGCATTAAGCATGACAACAATGCAATTCAAATAATCTGATTCAGAAAACATTTGAAAATGAAATTAGTTGATCTGGCTTTTTTACCATTTCAAATTTTAGTTTAACTTGTTAATTCCTTATTCATAATCTTTCAACTTGTTCGATTGTTTCTCCTAATGCATGTATAAATGTTTAGAGCGAAGGGTAGTTGTATCCCTTTGGATGATACATACATCTCGGTGCCGTAGTTTCTTGCTCTTTTTCTTTTTTTCTTTTTTTTTTTTTTTTTTTCAATCATGGACCAAGAGTTTTTATGTATTAGATGATCTTTCTGAATTACCTAAAACTAAAAGACCAAGAAATATGTTTGTGTGAGAGTTTTTATATATACTGCCCCAAACCCCAGAACTTTTGCTAATCTTGGAGCTAAGCATGGTAACTTTTTTTAGCTGTCCGATTTGGTTAGCTATTTCAGGCCCAACATATCCGCAGCAAATCCCTGAGACATAGATATAATGGTACCTCTAGTCTTCAGCTAACCCATAAATAAAATAAAATAACCAGAAGGCATGCTAAACTTTATTTCTTCTTTGACACTTTTCCAGCTGGTTTTAATATAAAGTTCAGGATTTTAATTTGAAAGTAGGTAAATTGTTTTGATTTGTATTTATTTTTTAGAGTAAGTATATCTATTTTTGTTTTTATATAATACTCAAAGTCTCTCATCTATTTTTAAATTTGCAATTATATCTCATTTGTTTCTGAAGAATTGTAAAATGTTCAATCTATTTTTTCAATCAAAGTTTCAATTATAGATTATTTTATTTTATTTTATTTTATTTTTTTTGCCAAAAGTATCTTTTACTAAAATGCACTAAAAGTTATATGATCTACATGTTCTATTTTTTAAGTATTTAATTTATTTATTAAGTACAGATTTGTATATTTACCTTATATTTTAGGCTAAGTTATTAATTTGTGATTATTGGTCTAATTGTTTTCAATTAATTCTTGTTTTTTAGATCATAATTCATTCTACCCTTCTAATGTATATATGTGTGCGTACAAACCCAACTCGTCCAAATTTATCGAAAAATTAATGAATCCGAAGAAAAGTCAAATGGTGTTATAATTCCTCTTTTTTTTTTTTTCTGTACTTGTTTTTTAAATAATTCATGAGGACTTTTTTTTTATCATTTTGAATGAAAATGTTTGACAAAATCATAAATGGCCCTATATTTAAAGACAAATTTCGAACATTTTAGACCCAAAAAATTAAAGATAAATTGTGTTAATTCTTCTAAATATGTTTCGGAATTTCCGAATATAAACTTACATGTAGAGAGTCGTTAATTCATTTTTCCAAAAAAAAAAAAAAAAAAATCTCCAAATATCATTCAATTGTTGTTGTTACTAAACCAATGATTATTATTGATTAGTACTATGATATTGTTAAATCAGCCAAGCACTAAGGCATAGCCCACATAAAACCAAAATGAACCACAAAAAATCCATCCCTACTATTCAAAGTTGATATTTGTCTCTTTTTGGCCTTTGGGTCCCTAACAAAACAAAGAGAAACAAATTAAAATTCCCCTTTTTCTTTTTCTTTTTTCCATATAGTAACTAATTAAGATATTAGGTTTCATTGAGGGAGTTCATGCAGCATGAACAAAAGGATTGAAATTTCTTAAATACATCAACCTCTCAACTCCAAAGTCATTTTGATAATTGATTGATTTTCTGAGCGCCACTTTTGGATTTTAAATAACGTTTTGCATTTCCTTATTTATTTATTTTTCTTATTTTGGTTGGAGATATTTTCTCTCTCATAATTTTGAAGTTTGTCAGAATAATTTCTCCCATACACGTGTTGTTTTAGTAAGATGATTTCCATATGAAGACATTTGTACTTATGAAGGTGGAAATGGATCAAGAATCATATGCTATTGATGTAGAATGGGTGCGAAGTAGTAAGAGAATGATAAATCAGTCTTTGAAATCCACTAGGAAATCCTTGAAACTACAGGCAGGATAAAACACAGAAGGGTTAGAGATCTTCTTCAATCAACATCAGGCAATCGACCTCTAAATTGACAATATAAAACTCAGATGCTCAATTTCCTTCATCAAAATATCATCATATGAGGTGGTCTATATAGGTCCGAAGTAACCATGAAGTCCTAATTCTTGCATAGAAAAAAATTGGACTGCAAATCTACTGAATAATGATGAATTTGTGGGAAACACTTACATAAATTTGCTTTGTGGAATTATTCAAATGAGATACAATATCGCAAACTATGAAGTTCTAATGAAATTTCTGCTTGTATCGTGTTGCTCTTTCATATGATTTAAGCAAGAAAATAGGTTGATTGTTCTGATGTTCAAGTACTGGGAGTTCTATTTGGAGTATTTTCTGGTTCATTTGTTCTGTAATATATGTGACTCTATTTTACCAAGTTATCTGATGGAAATGTGCAGGGACCAGTACATGCATATGTCTCAATTCCAGGTGGAAGGACTAGCTATCTTTCAGAGCTAAAAGCAGGTAAGGAAGTTGTGGTGGTTGATCAGAAAGGGCAGCTGCGAACTGCAATTGTTGGCCGTATAAAGATAGAAACTAGACCTCTTATCCTTGTTGAAGCAAAGGCATGTATCAATATACCATTACCAAGCATGATCTATTGTTCCTCTAAAATATTACAAATCCACAGACAGTGAAAAATTGAGTACTTACAGACACTGTAATTTGTTTATCTGAACCATCTCAATATATCATCTTCTTGGTAAAATGTTACCGCTAACAACTATCTTCAGCGTGATCAAAGATTGAACAGGGGGAATTTTTAGTCAGTTGATCAAATATATCTGAAACGGTGCGTGTTGGATATTTTTCCAGGTCTTGAATCCATGTGCTCGTGCAAGTTCAAGGCCAAAAATTTTCTGGTCTTCCAATACTGACAATCTTGACTCGACTACAAAAAAAAGTTCACATTTCCAATTAGACATTGCAAGAGGATCTCTTTCCATGAAAGGAGGAGGATACATAAACTGATTTTCTTCTTAATTTCCATATGCTGTTGATATAATATTATTGGTGAAACTTTTCTTCTTTGTGGAAAAAGAGAGGTGGAGGACCGGATAGAATTAATGTCCTTTTATAGACGCTTTAATTGGGTTAGAAAACGGAATCCCGCGTGGACCCATACATCATCAGCGTTGGTTTGGAAATTAAGTGTGGCAGTGAACAAGAAAGACCAGAGGAAGTTGCCTTGGAATTAGAGAATGAGAAACCCATGCACCTTTAAATTTAGCATTTTTCATTGAAATCAAGCATTAAACACAAGCATGGTGTCCCTCTATTATCAGTCGCAACTTCTTGCAACTATAGGCATCACATTTCTCTTGTCACGTATTGTGGTTCCACTTGACTCAGCCTTGCTAGCATCAGAAGGCAAGGCTTTGCTTGAGAGTGGATGGTGGAGTAACTGCAGCAATCTCCCTTCAGATCATTGCAGGTGGCCTGGTATAGTTTGTAATGAGGCTGGAAGCATCATTGGGATTTCTCCACCTTCAAAGTTCCTCAAGGTGAGAACTAAGTTTGGGAATATGAACTTTTCTTGCTTCTCAAACCTTGTTCATCTCGACCCGGCCAACCATGAGCTCGGTGGAGGCATCCCACCTCAAATTTCTGTCCTTTCAAAACTCGGGTATCTCAACCTCGTCCTTGAATGGTCTAGCAGGTGAGTTACCTTCATCTTCACTTGCGAATCTTAGCCGATTAGTGAAACTTGACATTTGTTACAATTCTATGTCCAGTTCTATCCCTCCAAAATTAGGCAATCTTAAAAATCTTGTTGTTTTGAACATATCCCACAATGGCCTTTTCGGCACCATCCCTTCAACACTTTGTAATTTGAGCGATCGACGCACTTGGTCATGGATTCCAATTATCTTGAAGGTGGCATCCCTAGAGAAATAGGAAATATGAAAAATCTAGAGAGTTTGAACCTTGGTTATAATGCACTTACCGGTCCAATCCCTCAAACAATGGGTGGTTTAGTTAAATTGAGGTTTTTAAATCTTTATGACAACGGAATCAATGAATCCATCCCTTCGAAATAGAAAATTTGATAATGCTTGAAGGATTAGATCTCGGTGAGAATAACCTTATTGGTTCTATTCCTTTAGAAATAGGAAATTTGGGAAAGCTTGAAAGGTTAGATCTCGAAAGAATAACCTTGTTGGTCCTATTCCTTCTACATTGATTCTTTTATCCAGTTTGAGTTTTCTAAACCTCGGTTATAACCAAATCAAGGGATCCATCCCTTCGTAAATAGGAAATTTGACAATGCTTGAAGAGCTAGGTCTCGGTAATAATAACCTTGTTGGTTCAATTCCTTTGGAAATAGGAAATTTGGGGAAGCTTGAAGGGTTAGATCTCGGTGAGAATAACCTTGTTGGTTCGATTCCTTTAGAAATAGGAAATTTACGAAAGCTTGAATGGTTAGATCTCGATCACAATAACCTTGTTGGTCCTATTCCTTCTACATTGATTCTTTTATCCGAGTTTGAGTTTTCTAAACCTCGGTTATAACCAAATCAAGGGATCCATTCCTTCGAATTAGGAAAATTGACAATGCTTGAAGAGTTAGTTCTCAATTTTAATTTCCTTGTTGGTTCGATTTCTTTAGAAATAGGAAATTTGGGGAAGCTTAAAAAGTTAGATCTCAATCATAATAACCTTGTTGATTCAATTCCTTTGGAAATAGGTCATTTAGGGAAGCTTGAAGAGTTAGATCTTAGTTACAATAACCTTGTCGGTCTAATTCCTCAAACATTAGGTAGTTTAGTCAAGTTGAGGTCTTTACGTCTTCCTCACAACGGAATCAATGGATCCATCCCTTTAGAAATAAGAAATTTGACAATGCTTGAAAAGTTAGATCTCGATTACAATAATCTTGTTGGTCCTATTCCTTCCACATTGGATTGTTTATCCAATTTGAGTTTTTTAGACCTTTCTAGCAACAACTTAAGTGCGGAGATACCTTCTCAACTATATAACTTGTCGTTACGGTTTGTCAATTTTAGTTACAATAATCTATCGGGCTTCGTTCGGATTGACTGGCCTTCATACACCTTCAGCTTTCCAAGTAACTTGTCCTTCTTTAAATGATCAAAGCATACATGATCCCGAAACCCGTCATTTACCGCATTTGAAGGCAACATAAATCCGCAACTTAATTTCTCAAGTTGTTCGCCTCTAAGTACTCCATTCTTACATCCAAAACACAGCAAAAATATCCATTCTCTCAAAATATTTCTTCCCATTACCGTCACTATCACTATTTCCCTTTTTCTCTTATTCCTTGGATGTTATTTGTCGTCTCAACGTAAGGGCAAAGCTATCAAATTTGAGTCAACCACGATGAAGAATGGAGACTTATTTTCCGTATGGAATTATGACGGGAAAATTGCATTTGAAGACATCATTGTAGCGACAGAGGACTTTGACATTAGATATTGTATTGGATCCGGTGGTTATGGGAGTGTCTACAGAGCACAACTTCCAAGCGGAAGAGTAGTTGCCTTGAAGAAACTTCATCGTCGAGAGGCCGAGGATACCTGTTTTGACAAGAGTTTCAAGAATGAGGTGAAACTCGCTCACGCAAATACGACACGGGAGCATCGTAAAGCTTTTCGGATTCCGTTTGCACCAACGATGCATGTTTCTCATCTACGAATACATGGAAAGGGAAGCTTGTTTTGTGCCTTGAGAAATGATGCCGAAGTCGTGGAACCGAATTGGATGAAAAGAGTGAACATCATCAAAGACATTGCTCATGCGATATCTTACTTGCATCATGATTGCTCTCCACCAATTGTTCATCGAGACATATCAAGCAACAATGTTCCGTTGAATTCGGAATTGAAGGCTTTTGTTGCTGATTTTGGTGTGGCTAGACTTCTTCTTCCCGATTCATCCAACAATACGGTTCTCGCAGGAACTTATGGATATATTGCCCCGAGTTTAAATATTTCTTCTTATTATATTGTGTGCACCACTCCTAGATCGATTACACGTAATGACGAAGCAATAAACTAATTAGATGACTAGATAAAAGCAAATAGCCTATAAAAAGTAAAAAAAAAAAAAAAATGATTGCTAATCACAAAAGTTAGAAAAAACAACCTTTTTATCCGAGTTATTTTTGTGATTTTGGGGAGGCCAATTGGAAAAGAAAATCATCTTTCTAGAGCAACTTAACTTATAATTAACGAGCATAAAGTTTTAAAAGGGCTATGAGACACATTAATTATCTAATGAGACCCATTATCTAGTTGTCTCTAATCAAATGTGTACTAAACAGGTGAACGACAATAACCATTTCTCTATTATCTTGTTTTATTTCATCCAACTTAGCAAGTGTATATAACTTCAAAACTTCACTTATGCAATAATGTATGAAATTTATGCAGTAAATGGTAATTGTTGTAAGGTCTTTACACGATTCAGCTTATGTAGATAATCTTGTATTAATTCTATCTCATTTTGTTGATGGGCGGAATTTGCTTATACTATGGAGGTGACTAGAAAATGTGATGTTTATAGTTTTGGAGTTGTGGCATTGGAAACATTGATGGGAAAGCATCCAGGAGATCTATTATCATCATCTCGCTTCGGGTATAACTTTGAGTCAAGTGTTAGATCCACGTCTATCACCTCCAAGAAATGAAATTCTCCAACAAAATATAATTGTTATTGTTGCTCTAGCATTTTCCCGCATCTATGCTAAGCCAAAATCACGACCTTCCATGAAATTTGTGTCTCAAGAATTTCTATCTCCCGATAGAGCTTCATCGGTCGGTTCTTTTTATGAGATTTCTTTGCTAGAGTTGCAAAGTCTTGGCATGCAATATCTAACAAGTGAGACACGATCACATATGCCATATCATCAAGATGAGAGCCTCATTGAGGTGTCAAATTTGACCTACTCGTTGAACTTCAAGGAGAGGTTCTAAGAAAGCGTGTTTGATGGTTGTTCTTCTTTTATGAAAAGCTAAATATTTGTCCTTTTTTCCTACATTAGTGAACTATATATTTTTGTAATGTTTTGGTGTAACAAGGAAAATTCGTATGCATAAACCTTTTTCCATTTAATTTGTATTTTTGTTAACTTTCAATATTTTTATTTGTTTTTAATATCTAAACCATAAATATAGAATGAATTCATGCAATCATTCCTTTGGGTTATGTGACATTAGTTAGTGAACCTTGCAAATCAAGCTAATCAAGATAGACGAATGGTTTACACAATATATATATATATATATATATATGACCCATGAGCCATAAATCTTTTTTAGTACTTTGTATATATGATATTTGATCAATCAAATTCCTCAATTGGTTTATATTACAAATATATCGATATGGCGAGTTATTTCTTAATAAAGTGGCTAGGTGTTAGAAATTTAGAAATTGATACGGATAAAGGAAATATGAAGTAAAGCATTTCATAAATTTTTTGACATAAATAACTCAATACAATCTTATATATAATTTGACAAATCTTCTATATGTTTCCATGTTTTTAATTATGTCTATTATGTTGGTGTATAATACCAATTCTCCAATATGTCATGTTGTCTAATTTTTCCATATAAATTGACATATATATATATATATTTATTTATTTATTTATTTTGAAAATGTTCTTAAACAATATAAGAATATTATTTTAATTTTGAAAAAAAATAAAAAATTATTTCTTAAAATTTTAATGGTTGAGTAATTTTGATTTTTTTTTTCGTTTCCTAAAAAATTTTGAGCAATTTTGAATATTATATCCTTATATAACTCAAGAGTATTTGTGAAATAAAATATATAATTCTATCAATTTGGATGAAAAAAACTTAACGAGTAGGACTTATTAGAGAATTAGTTATTATACTCGATACATACTTTCTCCGTTTAAAAAACAATTGTTTATATATATATGAAAAATGGAGTAATAGATACATTAGAAACTTAGGGATATATTGGACACTTGTAAAATTATATAAAAATAGATGAAGTTATTTATTTATTTATTCTATTTGAGTACTTATACTATTTTTTTAAATAACAAAAAACTTAAAAAATAATAAAATTAACTAACTAATTAATTAGGTGAAATTATATCTATGTTACTCATTTTTAGGGTTTTTTTAAGCTTCTATTTTTGAATAAAATTAAACCTAATTAACGAGTGAGGACAATATAAAATCACTTAATTAATTAATTAATTTTTTTCCTTTTAATTTATTTCTTAAAATTTCTTGATGGAAAAAATGTTGAAAAATGGCATAATCATGGTTGTTTCAAACACGGTGACCCACTTGTATTGAGAATAATAGACATGTTAGCTAATTTGTACCAACAAGTTTATAAAAATACTTGATTGATCAAATTTTTATAATTACAAGTACTTAATTAAAAAAAATAGTACATATACTAAAATAAAAAAAAATCATAAAATACAAGTACTTCGTTAAAAAATAAAAAATATTAAAATAATATCAATATAAGTTCACTTGAGGAAGAGTTAACTATCATGTCAATATTCCGTAACAAAAATAATAAATGTACTTAATTGAACAAATTTCATAAATACAAATAAAAAATTAAAAATTAAAAGAACACATATTCCTCAAATTTCATTATCTATTTTTTTATTTAAAAAAACCCATTTCCCAATCTTTTAATGAAAAATAAAAGGCACTATGAAATCATGCAAATTTAAACCATCTTTTCCCCCTCCCTCGTTTTTTTTTCTTTTCCTAAATTGAAATATTTTTGGAGTAAATTATAGATTAGTCCCTCTAGTTTTAAGATACAAATTAATTAGTCATCTTTGTTTCAAAGATATTATTTAATCTTTTAATCCATATTGACCATATTTAATATAATATTATTTTTATTTCATAAAATCTCTTATTTTCTCATCAATCTTTTCATAGTTTTTTCTTTTTTATTTCTTAAAACAAAAAGACAACATAAATTAAAAAAAAATGTTCTATAGGATACTCTTTGCAAAGTTGGCATGATTACTATTATGTAAGGTAAATGAATAGATTTAGGTATAAAGAAAGGAATTCATGTTTAAGGAAAAGAATGCATTTATGTTTAAGGAAAGAAAAATTGTACGAGAAAATGTAGTAAAGCACACAAGATCTTGTATATGGTGGGGGTATCCAAGGGAGAGGCTAACAAAGAGAATGATATAATGAAAACTCTTTGCAAGGCATGTAACGGGAATAATCTAATGAATACCCCTGTGTGCCGAATGAAAGAGAATATGCTAAGAGAATGATCCGGTGAATACTATTAGTGTATAGAGGAGAGATGGTCCGGTGGTTATCCCTAGATGTTCTAAGGATAACATGTCAAGAGAAAAATCTAAATGGTATGTAAAGAAAATTATCTAATGTATACTATTGAGCTATAAAAAGAGGACTCATAAGAGAATAATCTAATGCATACTCTTCGAAAATGATAAAAAAGAATGTTGCACTACAAAGATGAAAAAGAATTAAAGGATTCGTGAATAGATGTTTTGAACATTAGGTTTAATGATCAATTATTAGGAACCATTTGTGTTAAATGATTGATGATAATTGAAAAATATTAGTGATCATGTGTAAATTTTGAGGAAAGAATTTTTATAAGGAGGGAAGAATGAAATATCTACGACTTAAAAACCTCATTAAAAGTAAATATGTTTGTAAGAATAATTTATTTAATTAATAAATAAATATTTATTTAAAGTAAGGATTGACAAATTATGCTTGAATAAAGAATGAATCAATACAAGTATAATTATTATGGAGGGTAAATGAATTAAATGGAAGATGAATGAACTAATTAAAGGGTGAATTAGAGGATTATAACATTAGCGATGCGGGTTTGAGTAAGAATAGTACGGATTGAAAGAAATGGTTAATGATGTTGTTTAGACAGCAACAAATGGGGTGAAGCAATTGCTTAAAGGTAAATACTATGTAAGGATGTTTTTGCTTAAATAATAAATGGATATTTAAATAAAATAAGAAATATAAGTATATACTTGTACTAAGGATAAATTAGATACAATTATTATTATAATAGACAGATTATGGAATGAATGAAGAGTGAATTATAGATTGGTACTAGTAATTGATATGGTTATGTTTTGGCCTAGGGACGTAATTGTAAAATGTAGGGACGTAATTGAAACAATTAAAAGTTTGAGTACTTGATTGAAATGATTAAAAAAATTTAGGATCTTTAATTACCCTTGAAAAGGTCTTGAATAAGGGCTAGATTATAGAAAATTGTGAGGTTTTGGGCTGAAATTGGAGGGGTAGATTGTAAGAATTAAAAGTTTAAGGACTAAAGTGTAAAATTATGATAATTTAGGGGACTAATCCATTGATTTTAGGAGACTAATTCCCGCAAGAATAAGCTCGAAAGAGAAAAGTGGGCTGGTTAGGTTGGCATAAGGAGGAAGAAAGAAGAGAAAAATGTGTAAAGAAAGATCAAGGAAAAAGAGAAGAAAAGATAAGGAAGAAGAAAATTCTAGAGAAGTCATTAATGGCATGGTTTATGATCAAATCAAGTGTGATACATTTGGATTAATCTTAAGAAAAGCCTTGGCTATAAATATGGAAGAAGAAGATGAAAGAGAGGTTAAAAACTTTAGATGTTTAAGGTTACACCAAAGAGAGAATAAGTAAAACCAAGAGAAAAATCACAAAACCAACACTCCAAACCACCTTAGACATCTTTGAAACATCCTAAACCTACCTTAGAATCAGTTTACAAGATTAAGTAAAGGAGGAGAGAAAAAAGTCACTTTAGGCAGAAATTTAGAAGAGGAGAGAGGAGGAAGAAATCCAAGGAGAAAAGGATGAGGATTGATCATCATCATCTCCTCCATTGTGACTTTGAGTCAAGTGTTAGATCCATATCTATCACCTCCAAGAAATGAAATTCTCCAACAAAATATGATTTTTATTGTTGCTCTAGCATTTTTCTACATCTATGCTAAGCCAAAATAACGACCTTCCAAGAAATTTGTATCTCAAGAATTTCTATCTCCTAGTAGACCATCGATCGACTCTTTTTATGAGAATTCTTTGCTAGAGTTGCAAAGTCTTGGCATGAAATATCTAACAAGTGAGACAAGGTTACATATTCCATACCATTAAGATGAGAGCCTCATTGAGATGTCAAATTTGACCTACTATTGAGCTTCGAGGAGAGCTTCTAAGAGAATGTGTTTGATGGTTGTTCTTTTGTTATGAATAGCTTAATATTTATCCTTTTTCCTATATTAGTAACTTTATATTTTTGTAATATTTTAGTGTAACAAGGAGAGCTCCGTATGCCTAAACCTTTTTCCCATTTAATTTATATTTTAGTTAAATTTTAATATTTCTATTTGTTTTTAATATCTAAACCATAAATATAGAATGATTGCATGTAATCATTCCTTTGGGTTATGTGACATTAGTTAGTGAACCTTGCAAATCAAGGTAATCAAGATAGATAAATGGTTTATAATATATCAAAATTGATAGTAAAAGATTTAATATGGATCGAATTTATGTTAAAAGATAGAAATAACAACAAAATAAAAGTAGAGGATTGACTATCCGAATCTTAACTTAGATTTTTTTGGAAGAGAGGAGGAAGGCAAAGCTAAGGTCTTAAGAAACAGAAACCAACAACATCATTAGACATAATGTCTCTAATACCTAGTGGAGGATGATTCCAAACTCAAAAAAGACTATCATTCAACAAACCAATACGAGTGAGTCAATGCCTCGATTACTCCCCTCAAAGTATGTTTAAAGGATACATACAACTATCTTTGACAAAGAAAATGGATGTCTACGATAATGTTATAGTAGGGAAGAGTCCGAAGAACACCATTACAAATAGCATTAACTCGCTTCTTGGTAGTCGGTTTCGAAAGCCGTAGTCCTAAGTAAGAATG